ATGTCCATTCTGTCCACATTTTAAGCAACATAATTAGGTATTTGCAACATATCTTAAATCAAGCGAAATACATCAAAATTTGTAGGGACCATCCCTCAAATAAATTTAATGATATTACAAAATCATATAAAAGACCCAGTGCCCAAAATTTCAGGTATCAAAAAGCCTTCCCAACGGTAAAATTTAAAAGGGCCACGAAACGACCGCTCATTGTGACGTCACTTCGCATATAAACGATAAACATTAGCATTTTATATATGTATATAGATTGTAGCTCTAATAGTTCTTCAACAAACCCAAAACTTACAATTTGTAAAAATCTAATCGTTTAGCCACAATACTCCGTGTGGTATGTGGTGAACAACCCGGTATAATTTTATGTTAAAAATAATCTGCAGTTTGGCGCACCTCATTCGCCTCGATTGATTATACGAAAACGGAAAGATGTAAAAACATTTTTTTATGGGTATATGTAGAGAGACAATGTGCATAATTTAAAATTATTTTGAAATGTACAGGGTGTGGCAGAACTAAGATCCATACCAAAATTATATTTTTTCTTTTGGAACACCCGGTATTTTATTTCATTTTTTGATTCTTGGGCATAAAATATGGCATTTATTATAAGAGTTTAATATGTCTAAGAGCTTTGGTTTTTGAGATATTTAAAGATTTTTAAATATGCATGCTATAATAAAAACAATTGTCAACACCCCGTACATTACTTTTCAAAGTTAATTATTATGCTGACTTTGAAGCCAGAGAAATAAACTTTACTAAAAAAATGTATTGCTTCCCTAAATGTATACAGGGGTATAAAAATTGCTGGTCTATTATTTTAAAAATTTATTATATTAAACACCGTTATTTCAAATACAACACTATGTATTTTTTAAAATAAGTCGAAGCAGATTTAGATGCTCTTTCATACTATACTAGGGTGTCCTATACCTATCTGGCTCAGATTTTGAATAAAAAGCGATTTTTCAATAAAATGGCAATCAAGATGGCTGTTGTCGCCATGGCAATTTGCTTGTGATAGTTAGTAGCTATTTTCAAAATCGACATTAGTTTATTGACTTTATTTAAATTTATAACAGTTTTACTTTTATTTAATTTACCTACAATAATGTTAATAAGTAAGTATTTATTATTATATGAAGAAAAATGAAGCAGTATCTGCTGGCGGAAGGAATGGATATGTTACTAGTGATATTATTTTGTGTAAATTAAAATTAAATTATTAATATATTATTATATTAATTATTTTAAAATTTTATTTTGTAGGTCATATAAAAAAGAATTTAGAATTTTGCTTAAGTGCATTTGGCTCCCTTTTTAATCACTTTACATATTCCTTTGATATTATTTTTTTAGTAATTTCAGAGATATAAACAAAATACATGAAAAAAAAATATTTTTCAACCTTCTTTAAAAATTTATTAAATATATAAGATGTGTCCTATAGTTAAAACTACAGGTATGATTTTATACTTATTTTTGTAAATATCGCAATCTTAAATTATACAGGGTGTTGCCATACCAAACTTAAAAAAACTCTATGAAATATATGTAAATATTTTTTCTTCGTTTTTTTTTTAAGTAGTATAGGTATTTTACCGTTGAAAGAGCTATAATATGTAATAACGTAAGTATCTGCAAACACGTTAAAAATTTTGAAATACTTTACACACAAAAAATGTTCAGTTTTTAATTCTCAATCTAAAAAAATAATATAGAGAAAGTATTGCTTTAAAAACGAAGTAACATTATTTTACATTTTAGAAAGTTTGGCGTGGAATTTTGCAGGTCCTGTATAATTTAGGATTACGATATTTATAGCAAAGTAAGTACAGACCAATTATATGCGTGTTAAGGTACATTCAGGCTGAGAGCGTCGAGCGTCGCGTCGCGTCCGCCCCATTGAACTCGAGCTCCGACGCTCAGTGGACGCTAGCGCAACGCCAAACGCGACGCTGTCCGCCTGGGCGGTCTAATTTAAGTTAAGTGAATTGATGTACCTTTAAGTGTTTAGTATTTCGCAGTAAGAACTGAATACTAATGTTTTTGTCAATATTTCTGTTTCCAGTTATACATTATGAAGCAAACCGTGGTAAAAATTTGTAAACAATTGGCAAAGCAAAAATTGGTAAACTTATTTTATCAGGCAAATAACAACATAAACGCAATTTCATTTTTTTTTTAATTTTTATTCACAGGTCACTTGATTCTAAACAGCTTACGAAATATCTAGTTGGATTTTTTTAAATATTAATGAATAGCAAGTTAATTTTATAAAGGAAAGATATAAAAATAAAAAAGAAATTATATTCCGTCAGCTTTATCATAATAAGTATATTATATTTTCATGTAAAAGAAACAATGGACAATAAAAAAAGCAATTCAATGAACGAACACATCTTTATCTTTAGAGAATCCCTAGTTATTAAGTAGGTACTTTATCTAATAAATCCAAAATTTTTAAAATATTTGAGTAATTATATTTTATTTTACAAATACTTAAAGGAAAGATTAATCATTTTTAATGATGGTAAGCCGGTAAAAAGCACTATTACTAATAATACTCAAAAGTAAAACTACGTCAGCTTTATGATATTCAAGGGTATTATAAACAATGGACAATTTAAAACTTTAAGGGATCATATTCTTTTATAACTTTTTTTGTATAAAATGATATATCAAAAATAATAATGCAATAAATAATAGATACTTATTATTATATTATACATTAGATTAGATTATATTCTTCCAGGTTGCTATTGACCTGATCCACTGCGACCTTTTAAGATCTGTGATCTTCTTCTGATACTTAGGTTACATTTTCTTATCCTTTTCAAAAAGTATAGCAACTTAGAGACTGAACACTGAACCGTCTATGTAACATTCTATCAATGGCCTACATTGCCTATTTACAGAGAACGGCGCATTTGCCACCGACGTAAAATGTGTTCTGTCTTTTCTTCTTCAGATTGACAACACCTGCACATGACTTCGTCCGTCAATCCCATCAGTTTTAAACGCCTATTCAGCTTAAAATGAACCCTAAATGGACCCACTACAGTTTTCACTGTCTTTCTGTCTTTGCTTATAAGGGTTGCCAGCAGCGGTCTGGTTAACCACCTTACCCTTATTGTCTTAGAGTCCATTTCACTAGTCCGAAAAAGTAGCAAAATAAGCGTTCGGCATTTAACGTTTTACGTAAAACTGGCTAATAGATATTTTTACACAAATCAAGAAGGAAATTAAAGATAAAGGATCATACTATATCCGTATTTTTTAGACACCTTTTTATTTTTAAGATTTTATGGTCAAACATCAACAAAATATTCCTTATGTTTTTATGTTTGTACTAAAGTTTGTCGGAAATAAAGACATAATTTAAAATTCCGTTACAATACGAAAATAGATTAAAGTTTTGTGATTACAGTGATATAAAATTTATATGGTTTTGTAACAAATTGCTCGCTATTTTATGACAAATGCTGAAGCTCTGCAAACCTTAATCAAGCCTTAATTAAAGCACGTGTTTTTGGAATTTTGGGTGTGGCTTAACACGACAGGCTCGGGCTGATTTCTTATTATTATTTCTTATTTCTTAGGCAGATTTCTGAAATATAATATGTATTTCCTTTGGCCACACACCCCGATTTACCCGACCCCTGAGAACGACCCGAACAGTACAGCGTAATAGACTCCTAAATGGGAACGCTAAAAGGACGGCATTACATACATATAGGGTGGATAGTGATAATTGTGATTGCGTGTACAGGGTATCCCACTAAGGATAGCTCTCGGCTGTATTTCGGAATGTATTAGCCGTAGAGCTTGCGGAAAAAAATATTAATAACTAAATTGGCAATGGGAAACTGCTGGAAATTATAGGGGCTAAGGGGCGTTATTTTATAATTTAACAAACATAATGCGATAGTATATGTAATTTTAGCTGATAGTAAAAAGTTATAACACCTTAAAAACTCGGCGAAAACGGAATCTTGATAACTTCTTTCTAACCGAAGATTTTATATATTCGTATTTATTATAATTTTGCTAATAACTTTGGTTTGAAAAAAGATACCAAGATGCGGTTTTCGCTGCTTTTTTAAACTTCTATTATACATTAGTATCAAATAAAATTACATATACTATCGCATTTAATTCTTTTGAAAAAACGCGTAATGTTTGTTAAATTGTAAGACAGCGCCCCTTAGCGTCTACGTTCAGAAGCTTATTTTTGTTGTTTATAGTATAATCTAGAGTAAGAAACGTTCTTTTAAACGAGCTCTCATTTGTTGGATTCCGATCATCCAGTGCGGAGTTATTCACATTTAAATAAAAGACATCAACCTTTCCCCACCACTTTATTTTAGCAGATAGGGAAAATGGTTCTAACAAAAGATCCTAAATTTACTGAAGATTATGACGCTATTATTTATAGTACATCGTATCTAGGCAAAATTTCTTAAAAATTCCATTTAGTTATTTTCCATTTTCAAGCAGTTTTTTCCGGCCGTTTTACAAACTTGAAAATAATTTCCAGTAGTTTCTCATAGCCTCTTTAGTTATAAATATTTTTTTCAGTTTTTCAAATCGATTGATCTGAATTATTCCAGTTCATTCGGTCAAAAAAAAACTCTCACTTTACTGTTAGGTGTTTTATTCAGCTAGTTAAAGGTAAAACCCAACAGAAATCGTTATTTAAAACTTATTCAAAACTGTAAATCACCCTGTATATTAAAAAAGTAAAATTTAACGAACCTATCTCTAATATAGATAAAATCTTAACACCGTCAAAACAAACAATAATACAATACAAAATATTTAACAATTCTGTGATAATAAGACAAGTACTGATCTTTTTACAATACTAACTATTTAGAAACACCCAAGGACACAATAATAGCAGTTTGCAGAGGTCTTAAGTAGTAAATTGATAACAAAAATTAAATAATAGAGTAGAACTCTGCTTTAGACAATGATATCTTAGGTTGAATAACAGCTGCAAAAATATTCAAGCGTTCAGAACAGATACAAGGCATTATAGTGCACTATTTTATAATATAAGGTAGGTGCATGTGCATATTATTACAAAAAAAAAAAAAATTAGTTTCAATTGAAATCAAGTATGTATATTTTTTTAGAAAAAGTATACCACCAAAAAATCTGAAGTCTGAGTAAAAAAGTTCCTAAATCTCTTAATGGAGTTGTATATTGAGCAAATATTCATTCTAAAATATATCCCTTTTTTGGCTAAGAGAAAACGGCTTGAAATAAACCATCTACCCGCACTAAGTGTACAAAATTATGGAAAATTCACTAGAAACGAAAATGGATTTGCTGCTACGAAAGTTTATAAAAAAAATGGATAATTTTGCTTATATATGTGTTGTATTCAGCAGCCAACTCGTTTCAATGGATGGAGTACTCCATTATTGCCAACATCGTAATGAGATTTTACGACGTGGATGCGAGTGATGTAGACTGGACATCGATTATTTACATGCTCATTTACCCCATTATTGTCATACCTGTGTCGTACTTTATAGAGAATAAGGTAAGTACAAATCATCGGCTTTATGACGAAAAGGCGTATCTTGATTTTGGCTACTTTTCAGGAGAGCAATTTAAAGAAAATCACTTACATTATTTGGTCAATAAATGTAAAGTCTTTAATTTTTTAATAGTGTTTTTGTATTAACATTTAAACGGAGACATTGAGGAAACGTTCTGAAGATAAATTGAGCGTAAATTCTAATAAATAATTTATATTTAGTTGTTTAATAGAGATAGGCCTTTTTGTTATAATAATAATAAATTTATTTCCGAACGATTAGTATACATACGCCCATATAAAATGAATTTAAAAATGATGGAAAAGTGTTCTTAATAAGGAAAAAAGATAATACAATATTTACATTATGGAATACATACAAGAAAATACAATACATACATACAAGAAAAAATCTGAAAATCACCAAAAAATCAGAAACAAATATGTTTAAATATTTTTATTCGCGTTGTATTAGATCACCTAAAATCAAAGACAATTTTCATTCCAGAAGCAAAGACAATAATCAATTAAAATATAATACTGTTATCTAGCTTATTTTAATAATATTGTTTTTTATACAAAAATACATTTTTTTAACTAATATATTTTTAGTAATTATTTAGTTAATTGAGGGCATTAATACAGGGCATTTAAGGCATTTCTTCATTCGTGCCTTTATGATACAAATAACTGTGGAATAACACTTTCTGTTTTCCCTGTTCAATGATAACAAATTCGACTTCCATTCTACCTGTTTATGCTGGATGATGATAGGTACAATAAATAAAATTTTCCAAACATTGGCAGGGATGACAATGCCAATCGCCTGACAATGATAATGAGATGAAAATTATTGTATTTTTCGGACAAGTTTTTGGTTCGCTAACATGTTCTTAGGGAAATTATGATTTCGGGAAATTTTCAATTAGGGCAATTTTCGTCTCGTTGTTTTGCTTTCGATCAATTTTCCTTCGGGCATTTATTCTCGGACAATCTCTTGCATACCCGATACAGCTATGTGCAGAGTCTAGCTCATTCTAACAATGGTTTTTGGCAAAAAAACAGACTCAAAATCACACTGTAAAAGAGAACTGCTGCCGTGATAGAAGTTTTATTTTGTCCCAAGCAACCATACGAAAATAATTAGGTAGAATGGTGTGATTTTCTCTCGCATTGCATTTTCATAACTTAAAACAAAAGTACCTATCTCAAATTCCATCTTTCTTGTAGTATAACAATAATTGGTATAACAATTGATATAACAAAGAGCCCTATCTCAACATACGTCTGTTCGTCATAACGCAAATTGTAGTATTTGAGAAGGGGCAAATCCACAAACGAATATAAAATGAAAAAGGTACAATATTGAGGTGCGCAAATTCGCTATGTTATAATATGACCCATTGGGCATGTCATGACGTTGATATCTCAAAATCGCCAAAAATCGAGATACGCCTTTTCGTCAAAAAGCCGACGAAATTTACCTTAAATGTTAAGTTTTAAAACTTGCCATTGAACAAAAAGAAATAATAGCCACAAGCCGTGGCTATTAAGCAAAGACCATAATATGCAGTGACTAAGCTTAATGTTGAATTAAATAATCTTAAAGCGGATTTGTTTCATAATGGTTACTCTGAGAAGTCCATAGACAAAATTATATCAACTTGTAAAAAACTGACTCATTGTTCATCGACCTGAGGAGGAGGATCTGTCTCTCTCTTGACTATTCCATATGTAAAAGGAAAGTCAGAAAAGAAGCCTAACAAACAAGGCCGGAATCATTGAATGAGTGCAATAAATTAGTGGTTTCAATTAGCGTACAAGTTTGTTCCTCTAATTTGAATTTGAGCATTCAGAACGTCAAAATTAGTGGCAGAAATTTTCAATTAGTGGAAAAAGTTACCAAACTTTTAACTTTTCCACTAATTATACTTCAAAATTTGCGAGGAATGTCATTTTGCCCTTTGATTATCATCTGTCAAGAGAAAATGTGGTTAGAAATCAAAAGCTGATTGTTTTATAAGCTAAATATTAGGCTTTCTCTATGGATACAACTGATTACGGCAAGCTGTTGCATTGTGCGTTGCTTAGTCGCCATTGGTTTCGTTCATCCCAGTCTCCGTCACGCAGATTCCTTGAGCTCATCGCCTTCTTGACACCCTTCATCCAGTTTGTTCTTGGTCTTCCCCGTTTCCTTCTCTTTTGTGAAAGCCAGTTTAGTACCTTTTGCGTGTTGTCCATCCTTCTCACATGTCCATACCACTTCAGTTGGGCAGTCTCTATTTCCTCTACTATAATTTTCTGTCTATCCATTTTGTCCCTGATTGTCTCGTTTTGTATACTCTATCCAGCCTTGATGTTTGTTCTGATATCCTTATCGAGTCCATTTATACCGCAAGTAATTTTCTTTTGTTATTCTCCGTTAACCTCCATGTTTCCGCCCAAAATTACAGATTGCTCTTGATTATTGCATCATAAATCCTGAGTTTTCTGTCTTTACCTATTTCGTTACTCCTAAGTATATTATTCAGACATTTTATTACATTTCTGGCCTTGGCTATTCAAGAAGAAGACTAAATGTAGCAAATCTTATGTCAAGAAGGCCTGTTTCGGGATCAGAACTTACTAGATCTGTTGACTAGGACCAAAAGCGAAGGCATGGTCTTAATGTAAAAATTACGAAAAAATGTTAGTGTTTTCTTCAAAAGCGAATATCTCCAATAAAAATAAAGCTAATGAGACGAACCAAAAAACAAACCATCGAGAAAGAATATATCTAGATAATAAAATGATTTTTAAATTTCTTGCTGTTTTAACATATTCCACAGGGTGTTTCAAACTTTCACCAAAATATCAACATTTTGTTTTCCCTCGTATAATTAACAGATGGGGAGTTTCATGTTTAATTTAGAAAGAGATACTAAAAAGTCAAATAATTTGGCTACATACTGCTTAAAAAATCATCAGAATCGGCCCACTAGAACAAAATATATTAAACTTTAAAATACATCAAAGTTTTAAGGTGTCCTGCCGGTGAATGTATTTCAAAAACTATACATTTTAGTCATATACTTTTCTAACAAAACTCGCCTTTATTTTTTTTACTAGAATCCGAAAATTAATTAATATATAGGGTGTTTCATTACAAAAATCATAACTTTCATATGTAACTTTTTTTGGGAACACCATTTTGGGACCACCATGTAGAACTCTAACAATATAATTTTAGAAAATGCTTTAAATTGACTTTCATAAGCTCACAAAATTTTACTTCAGTACAAACTTTTGTTCTCCTTGCAAAAACCGCATCGTATATGACGCGCCACCCTGTATAATTCGATTTCAATCAAAATTCCAATGATTAGAATATAAGCAGAATAGGTATAGCTTATGCATTAGATTCATTTATGTCAATAAATTTAGTTAGAAATCAAATTAAAAAAATCAAAAAATTAAGAAGGAAATAAATAAGAATTTACTAAAATTACTAAAATAAAAAATTAAAAGCAAAGGAAAAAAATGGGTAAACATTTTAGTATTTTATCTATAAAACACAATACAGAAGGTTTCACATTCATACATTCACAGTAATTGAATTCCGAGGTAAAAGTCTCTGGGCACTCCACTATTAGTGGAAAAGTTAAAAGTTTGATAACTTTTTCTACTAATTGAAAATGTCAAATTAAAATCAGTTTATTACTATTAAGTACGTTCTGAATGCTTACATGGAAATTAAAGAAACAAACTTCTACGCTAATTGAAACCACTAATTTATTCCACTAATTGCGAGGTTCTGAGTGAAGTTAAAGAGTTCATCTACCAGGTATCTTGTGAATGCGGCAAGGGGCAAGTCGTATCTTGAAGTGACTAAACGGCCTCTAAATGTGTGACTTAGCGAGCACAAAAAAGTGAAACAATGATGCCATCTATTGCGGACCATGTTTGGTCAAAACAGCACAATATAAAGTGGTTGGAAGCTCGAATTGTCCACAGGGAACCTCTTTAGAAAAAGCGTATATTTAAAGAGGTCGTTTTTATAGCAAGCAATAATAACATTTTTAGCATTCCTAGTACCGAAATACCTACGATATGGCAACCACTGACCACTGATAAAACGCTCCAATGCAGGCATTCTATGTGGACACCTTCACAGTTGAGTTCAGCCAACTTTTTCACGGGTGAATGCCTGACCGCAGTTTAAAAGCTCATTAGGTTTAGGAATTAGTTTAGTTTACCACTTGATAACGGTCAGTAATCCTTCTGACTGAAACGTTGTGTTATCAAAATAAATAAAGACAATGGAAGTCCGAAATTCTTTTATTTTCAATAACTGAAATCTGACTCATTGTCTCTCACATTGAGAGAAATTGTCGTATATATTCCCCATGCCCAATTATAGTTTTTAAGCTATTTGTATGTATATTGACATCATCAATAAATATAAGTGTATTTTTTACTATTTTAATCAAGTACTTCTAGGGGAGACACCTTATTTGTAATTACCTTTGTGTCATTATCTTACCTATTTTTTGATCTTACTGATATGTCATAAACCAATATTAATTTTGCAATCATGAATAATAATTGTAATTGACACTAGAAAAAATATATACAAAGGCTAGCTAAAAATTTTAACAATGTGAATCTATATTTAAACTTACCTTACATCGTTCTTTTAAAATGTTATTTACTAGAAAAAAAAAATCTAGTTATTTCTCTTAAAATTTTTGTATATTATTTTGACAAAAAAAATTGAATATTAAAAAAGGCTATAATAATAACTATATCAATCTTTACTCTATTTATCAAAACCAATTCCAAAAACTAACTTTTAACCTGTTTTTTAATTTACAAAGTATGTGCATATTCTAAAAATTTAAAAAATGGTAATATGTTCCTTCACCAATTTATCAAGAAAATATATCTATATAATACAGGATGTTCCTTAATGACATGCTAATATTTAAGGGGGTAATTCTTGGTCCTATTCTAAAAGAAAAACTTCATATGAATGTATGTCCTAAACATCTTAATTTCTAAGATACAAGGTGGTAAAATTTTCTAAAAAAAAATTTTTGTTACTATAACTCTGACTTTATTATAGATATCTTTATGAAACTTAATACACGCTTTCTATGCATCAAAATACTTTTTTTGGTGTACAAAGAATTTAATTTTTTTAGAATAATATATTTTTTCCATAGCAACTGTTAAAATTGCCTTATATCTACCAAAAATAGTAGATCAAATAGTACTTTAACCGCAAGGGTAGATATAATGATACTTCAACAGCGAGGATAGGTTAAAAACTTTATTTCTTCTCGCACGTTTTTTAATTGCTTCCATTTTTGAAAAAATGTTTATTCCTTTTCATAAGTTATTTGGGATTTAAATGGAAGTAGTTTGGATATAGTGTTTGTCGCCTCAGCCTGAATATCTGTTGGTAATTTACTTATTTTGTTTTGAGCCAATTCTGGCTCCAATTCAATCAGCAATCGACACGAAAGAGAATGAAAAATATTGATTCAAAATTGACAACTAAAGAGACAGCTTTATTTATTTGTCAAATTACATAGAAACCAACGCCAACCCAGCACAATATTTTTTCTACTCGTAATAAATTCATTGAAATAATAATTTCTGAATATTTTTTAAAACGTAACTCTATGGAAAAAATATTGTTTTATACACGACGATAAAATTGCATTATCGTCTCCCGAAATTAATTCACTCGCGATTTCATGGCTCGTGAATTAATCTTTTCGATCGACGATAAAATACCATATTATCGTCTTGTATAAAAAATAACTATTTTTAACAATGTTTTCTAGGGTTTAAGATTTGCTGCCCTTTGTGGCGGTCTCGGTACGGCACTGGCAGCTTTTATAAAAGTATTTTCAGTCAAGAGAGGATTATTTTATTTGGTACTGTTAGG